TCTGTGTATAAAAGGAGGAGGGCTGAGATGAAAGATAAAGGGAGAGAACCTAGTGTGAGAAACTTCTTCTTCAGATTTATAGAGAGAGAAAGTCACGAACAAGAGAAGCAAAGAAGGTTAGGGTTTCATCCAAGCTCCAAGATTTGGGATTCTCATTCTCAAAGGTTGATCTCCACACTAAAGGAAGAAGGCAACCCTCTCATGATGGTATCTTCTCTTCTCCTTTGTGTAATCCCACTTCTTAGCATGGAGTAGTCCTTTCTTTAACTTGGGTGTTTGTAAACCCTAGCTAGAACTATGTGAATGCTTGTATGGATTGAATGATTTGTGTGTGGTTGTGTTGTGTTTTTCATTTCCAACTCTTATGCCAATTTGACCTAGGTAGAGGGAAATCCCTTTCTTGCTAAGAGGCTTGTAGAGCAGGAATTCCTTGGCCAAATTGTGTCACCTACTTAGCTTGAATTAGGGAAAACCTCATACTACGTATTAGCACCTTCGGTAGGTTGTATTTTGGTTTTCCGAACTATGGCTTGAGGGAGAAGCCTAAGCAACCTTAGTTGATTGGCCAAGAGAGCTACCTTGGTAGCTTGATTTGATATCACTTAGACTAGTGACCGAGAGATTGAAGCTTGTTCACTTGTTTCATTACCCTATTGTTTACAACTTCTTTTACCACACACTTGTTTCCAATTGCTTTCAATTTTAGTTAATAGTTTCAACCAAAACTAAATTGCTAGATAATGTTTTAAAAAATTGAAGTAGGGGTACATGGACCGACCCAGGTTGGACTTTTAAAACATACTTACCCTATATTGCACGCGGTTAAGGTTTATACGTGGGCCTTAGTGGGGATTTTTATTGTGATATTCGGGATGAGTCACTTGGTCATGCACAAAAGAGAGTACTTAAATAAAGATGGAGTTGAAGAGACATATCCGGAGATTGGTGCTCATGATTGAAAGAACTAAACTCCCTTGTGTAAATGTCCTCATTCGTGAATGGCTTATAGCATTCCCTGGATTCTTCATCTTCGAATATAGAAGCTAGTTTGCTCTTAACATTTCAAATGCTTTCTTAGGGGAATTTTTCTCCAAATATAAATATTCTAAGTTTCCATCCATGATCATTGGCTTGATGAGAAACTTTGAACAACTCTTGAGTAGCCCTTTTGTGAAAACAATTTCTTTACCTGGTCTCTTCTTAACTTTGCAAGGATCACTCACACCTTCAACTCTTCTATCATGAGGGTCAACATGAGAAACCATATTGAATTCTATCTTGGAGCTTGAAGGCAGTGTGGTAGGAGGTGTCACTAGCTCAAAATCCATCTTGATGTCTTCCCATTATTGATACTAGACCCAAATCTGCTAGCGGATTCCAAAAAAGGTTTTGACTCCGAAGGTGCATGTAATATTAAAGATTCATGGATCTCTTAATTTCGGAGGAAAGACTTCACATCCAATGGATTCTATAGCAATTTCAAACGGATACCATAACAACTTCTTCCATTTTCCTCTTTCCCGACAATATTTCTTTCAAGAACTTGGAATATTTCGCAATCTTCATAACCATGTCTAAGAAAGGGACCGTTACCTTCAATTGCTTCAAGGTATCCTTCCATGGAGCACATTCATGATATAGATCACTTTTGAATAACCGCCTAGGATAAAAAGCTTTTGGTGTTGGATCACATGCTTGAATCATCTTAGGCTTCTTCTCATCTTCAATCTTGATTTCGCTAGTAGGTTGCAATTCTTCCCGAACTAACTCTTTTTCTTGAACAACTTCACGTTGAACTTCTCTTACCAATATCTTCGATGTTGAGATAGGAACCTCCTTCAAAAGTCGACCACTCCTTAGAGTTACTACATGACATTCCCCCTTAGGATTAGGCTCGGTATTGCCCGATAAAGTTCCTTGTGGTGTAACACCCTAGTCCGGCTAGACACTAACTTAACCAAAATACCCTTGATAAATCGTAAACCAAAATAAGAACCGAAAAGAGTTGGAAAAATAGCAAAAGCTTTTCATAAATAACTTTAACGTTTGCTGAAGTAAACTGATATCTCTTAAGAGCCAGCCCTAACACTTGGGCAAACCTCAACCATAGCATCTTAATATGAATCTCCAGTCTATACTCATAAACATAAAGAAATAACTAAAACTGAAACACCCTAACCCGGCCGGGTACTAATTTTACTAAAATGCCATTGATAAATAAAATGCTCAAATCTTAAATTGCAGCAGGAAAAAATTTCATAAATAAAATACTGAAAACACACACTTGTAGCTCAGAGCAAAGCCCTAACACGAGGGCAAATTAAACTCAAACTTTAAAATCTCAATCTGATCTCCAGTTTATACTCATAATCATAAACGTAAATAACTAATAGTCTCTAATGTTGTTACTACTGAAACCTTGACTAAGCATCCTCTGTGACGCTTATACTGCCCTCCTCTAGCTGCCTGCCATCGAATTCGCTGCTCACTACATGCTCCTCTAGCTCTTCCTCTAGCTCTTCAAACTGGTTAGTGAGATGGGGTCAGTCTACGCCCTTACGTTTAAAATTCTTACTGCTTAGTACTTTACTTAAAACACTTACTTAAATTTGTGGAAGTTGTTTGTACTTCCATTCTTAAAATTCCTAACTCTTAAATTGTATGGGAGTTACTGTTACTCTCCACTCTTAAAGCTCAAATCTCGACTTAAATACTTGACTGACACTGGGATCCCCCACTAGCTAGTCCGGTTGCCAACTCATACGTATTAAAAGTCTCAAGAGCATAACTGTTGCTCTAACTGAAAATCTCAAATGGCAACGGATAGGCGCTAGTGACTAAAAACACTTAAAACGACTTCACCTTCTTGAAGGTGAGTTACTTCTTAAAACGAACTTGTTTCTTAAACTCTAATAATTAACCATAACATAAAGCTTTAAGGTAAAAAATACACATTCACTTCAAGTCATAGCACAAACAAAACACATATAATCAGCCAGAAGAATTCACAAGCAATGTTAACCACATCGCCGAAATACTTGAAATCGCAATACTTCAAAGAATACGTAAGGCGTAGAATTTACCCCCTTTACACTCACCTTATTGATCAGGTCGACTTGGCTTGGGCTAACCACCCTCCAATGACGATCGCTTTACCATAGTCTTACTTGTAATTTGCAAAATCCACGCGGGCTCTAAACTTTATCCCTCCTTCTTGCTTAACCGCTAACTGCCCGCCTCCTGCTTGCTTAAGCAGGTAGCTGACGTCTCTACTCGCTAATGATCCTGCTTGCTTAAGCAGGATCTCCAAACGCCCTCATCCACGTGAACTGGTAATGGACCTGCTTGCTTCACTAATGGTACTGCTTGCCTTAAGCAGGTAGCTGACGTAGTAGAGAGGCATCCCATGACGGCCACACAATCACGTCCCAACCGTCCTCGTCCACATGCAATGGTTAATGAACCTGCTTGCTTAGCAGAACATAGTAGACGTCCCAAACGCCCTCGTCCGCATAAAGCCAGCACCTCTCGTAGTAGGGGGAGTGGCACTTGCCTGTCTTGCAATTGCCTAAGCAGGCTGCTCTCGTTAGTAGCGGGGGGAAGCAGCCCCACGTCGATGCCACTCATCCAGGGAAAGCCCTCTCTTTGTATCCGACTATGAGTCGCTTCTTTGATTTCCAGACCTGGCTGGTTTCCAGGGTGTAACTATCTTCTGTTTCGATCAATATATGATATCTTTTGAAAAAAAAAATGTTGCATTGTTTTGTGGTAACTGCCATGCAACGTATCCAAAAAAGGACATGGATTTAAAAGGCTTGGAATCACTTTTCCATAAACTTAAAATTTGGCTCATGTGATTTTCCTTGTCAGCAATATGATCCGAACCAATCTGGTTCGAATAGTTCAACCTCTGCTAGGCAATACTTTCAAGTTTCAAGTGGCTTTATAAAGGGAAAATATAAAATATGGCTTACTTTCAAGTGGTCACCTCTGCTAGGCAATAGACATCAAGGCAATATTATTAGAGGCGTGGAAGAAGTCGATAGGCCAAATTTGTTATCATGGTTGTCAAACCGGTTTCATGCCGGCCGGTTCAACCGGGTACAACCGGTACCGATCACCAAACCGGCTGGAAAGAGGCCGGTATTTAACTGTGGTCAAATCCGGTCAATGCCGGTCAGATCCAGTCATTTCCGGAAATTCCGGCCGGTTAGACAGAAACCGGAATTCAATGTTGCACATATTTTATCCAAAAATAAACATCCTCCTTAGGATTTGAACCAAATACATCATGTTCATTTTAGTCTCACTTATACACCAGTAGGCTACATAACCTTGTATCTTATATATCTAATACGGAATTTTACACAAATCATTATAAAAATTAATAAAATTCATTTTATATACTTTTATTTTTAATTATTTTTAAGTATGTAAATGTTTAGTATTAGTTATCAATTCTTAGCTATAAATTATTTTGTGTGAAATAATTTTTCTAATTGCTTTTTGATGACTAATTTATTTGGAATTGAGAATTTTCATTTGTCTCATATACCGGCACACCGGCATAAACAGGTTTGACAACCTTGCTTGTTATACTCGATGCCCAAGTTTGTTGCCCAGAATACGAATCTGTCGTCTCTTATTTAATCAAATGAATTCACAAGGGCATGTTTGCTATGGAAGATTCACAAGCACTAGGGTCAGAAGGGTTGACCCCATGTTTGTACATGCTCAACAGTTTTTCCTTACTTGGGCTTAGAGAGGGGGCCGAGGGCGATTTTTGTTGCTATTTTTAGTTTTACGGATGGTTTCTTCAGATCAATTACGCAATAAGTTACCCCTAGTTTCTTTCAAAGGATTCGCATTAGGTGAACTTAACCTATTGTGTCTCATCTTTGCTATGTCGATAACTCATGTATTTTTGTAGGGCTTGTTTGAGTTTCACAAAATATTTTTGTTCATTCTTTTACGTCTAAAAGCATCCACATCGATGTAATTGCATAATTAAAATTTTATAAGATGTTCTTATTGTCACCTAAATAATTTGTGCAATCAAAGTCATTAATCTCACATCTCCATATCATCTCGTATCTCGCAATTGAAAATGCAATATCAATATGGATGCAGCTAAGCAATTTTCAAAATAATTCCAACAATTTTAGTTACAACAAGACATAAGAAATCCTAAAAGGAAAGGAAAGCAGTTTCACAACAACACCAGCAGGCAGCATCTCTCTTCCTGCTGCCAGTCAAAGCTATTCCACCAAACCATAAACTGCAACTTCATTAAGAAATGGTCATCATCTTGATGGACTGGAAGGCATTGGGATTTGCAGAGGTAGAAAATATATCAGAGACTACAAGAACGGAACATCCTCGTTTCACCATCCCCTTTGTTTTCAGTAGTTGAGTGGTTTTCAAGACGTTGGCTTCCATGTCTTCTGATAAATTATCAACAAGAACTGGGATGACCCCCCACTGCAAATTCAAGCCCATCCTGACACTGCGGTCGTTGGTGAATGCAAATATTGGAGGATTTGGTCGGTTCCGAGACAGCAGTGATGCCATCTCTCCGTGCTTTGTGTACACAAATATGGCATCCACCCCAAGGTTATTAGCTGCAAGTTTAGGGAAAGATAAAACACAGAAAGAAAACCAAGGTCATTGACTAAGGACTGCTTATAATAAACTGGAAGTTGTTTCAGAATTCAAGTCTTTTAGTACCCATTTCAACAGCAGAGTTGCATATTGCTTCCGCAATTCGGTCTGCCAATGAAGCTCCAAGTTTTTTATAGGAATAGAGAGCAGAAGCTTGTTGATGTTCCTCACGGGTCCACAGCTCCATCCGGCTACTCACCATCTTTAAGACAGACACTGCCTTTTGACCATTTGAGCCAATGGCGGATTCACCAGATAACATCAGTGCATCCGCATACTGTCTCACTACTTCGGTAACGTCAGCAACCTTTTTCGGATATTAACAAATAAACGTCAGTCTCTAGTATCTCTCACCCATCACCACAGCATGATTTTCTGCATTTTTTATAGTAGGTAGTGGGACTCAAGATGGTCTGACCTCGGCTCGTGTCGGGGTTGGATATTCGATCATTGATTCCAAAAGTTGAGAAGCTATAATGACTGGTTTGTTTAGCTGCCTACATATGCGAGTTATCTCTTCCTGGACTGTCGGAATCTGTTCAATTGGAACCTCAACCCCTAGGTCTCCACGAGCCACCATGATTCCATCTGATGCCTCTACGATTTCTTCCAAATTTTGAAGAGATTCCAGGGTCTCGACCTTTGCCAACACTTTCACCGATCTGCACGTTTAATTAAATTTAACTTGAGAAGCAATGTTTTTGAGTTTATAGAACCCAGCTAAGCTCCTCAATGCCGTGATCAGAAGCTACCCTACTTACTGAAATATTAGCAGCCTCAAGTTTTATAAAGCAAAGAGTTCAGAAATGAGGAGAATCGGAAAACATACTGAAATGAAGTTAACTACATCGTGGTGTTAAAGGTTAATGTGCACTTTCTTACTTGGATGAGCTGGTAGAGAGATAGTTCTTTAGTTGCTTGATAGAATCGGCATCACTAACAAATGACACCGCAATGAAATCTATACCTTCAGAGACTCCAAAATCAATGTCTTCCCAGTCCTGTAGATTACATTACCCAGATAACTCAGACTAGATGTCAGACTAGATGTCTCCAAAAATGAGATTTCTTTTTCTGCTATTGACAATCTGAAACAACTCAGACCACAACTAGATAACAATCATATTCTTCACAAACAGCTGAGTAATGCGTGCGATTCAACTCCAGAGTTGGACTAGTATTATTAACTCAGCATTAGAAAGCAGTCAGCTTGGAGATCCACAAACCTTTCTTTAGAGCTCCAAAAATATGGAACATACAATAGTAGAAAAATGTTTTGTTTAGATGATTAGCGTGCTAGCAAGAGCGTTCCAACAATATTTCTGTGGCTCCTGATATGAAGATTGCATGATAAGCAACTACTCAGTCTCAGATCCTCTTATTCAAATACATGAACAGATCAATGAATGCAGTAAAGGAACTTTGTGTTACCCGAAAGGTGAATCCTACCCATTTCTCTCGAAGGGTTCCAACGAGAAATTGGAACAATTTTTAACCCTTGCAGGTCGTTTTTTCTTTTCTTTTTGCAGTGTGCAGGTAAAGTATTTAGGACAAAACTTGGAACCTCAGAGGGACCATTGGCCATATTTCTGATAAAGATCGGAGTTCTGTCGAGGTGGAAATTGTCCACGGGAATTTTTAATCTGAGAATTCTTCCTCAATCACAATGAATTGCTATGCTAACCAGAAAACCCAACCCACAAACTGACCTTTTTAGACAAAGTTGGCAGGCCGTGGTAGGAAAGCTTGCCATTTCTCCAGAAGCTCATTTTGGCGCGAGGCAAGAGGAGACCTGGATCTGTGCACTTGCAGCGTAGGTCATCTCCCATTTTCTCAACAACCACAAAGCTTGCCATTCCACCATCAATAACAAGTTCATCACCAACCATAATTCCTGTAGCATCATTTCACTCGTTTAACACTTGGCAAGTGGAAAACATTAGACTGCGCAAGTAAAAGTATGGACAAAAGGTAAGTCCACCTTGAGAGAACCCTTCAAAATTTGCTCTGACTGTAAAGGGACGGGAGCCTTCAAACTTCTGGCTCGTAAATACCCAAACTGAGCCTTCCTACACGTCAATACAATAATCCAGCTCATCATTAACCTTTTTCAAACAACGGGAGGTTAAACAAACTGATGAGAAACCTCTTTTCAAGCCTAAACGAGGGGGAAAACGAATCTAAGTCACCAAGTGTTTAATCTAATTGAAGCTATATACACGAACCAGAAAATGTCGGAGGGAAGTTCTAGAATCTTATAACTACCTCAGCTTTGAGAGAGGAAGGAGCTCCATGATCCACAACATGAATCTGGCTCCCTTCAGTGTCAATCATCACCGAGACAGAAAACCCCTTTTGTTCGTTCAACTTCTTGATCTTGGCAATCACATCCCGATGCCAGTCTCTGCTGTTATGGCACATATTCAGGCGTGCCACATTCATCCCACCCGCCGCCAATCGCTCCAATTCCAGCAACGAGCAACATGCTGGCCCTATCGTGCACACCAGCTTCGTCTTCCACATCCCTGAAAACCCTTCTCCCCTCAGCACCTCCTCCGCCACTGTGTCAATTGCCATCCCGAAATTCGGCTCCTGCCCACTCAAGCTCTGAACTCTAGCTGCCTCCGCCACTGCCCGAACTCCAGCTAACCTCAACCTAGAATCCACTTGTCGCTTCCGTCCAGCCCAAGAAATAGCGCCGCTGGTAACTGGAACACCCAAGAACCGACTCTTCATCGGACCAGAAAAAAGGGTGGGCTGCTTTGCGACTTCATTTCCAAATCTGAGAAGCACAGACTCGCTAGCCGCCGCCATTGTGTTTCGCTGGGGCAAATAAAAAAGACGCGATGTTGGTTTGGATCAAGAACTATAAAGGTTAATTAGGAATCCAAGAACGGGACGGAATTTTCTATGCGGTGGGAGAGTTGCGATCGAAAAGTCCGAAGAAGGGACTATGGAGGCCTTTCAAGGTTGAAAGAACGGAGTTTACAAGAGCGACATTGTCGAAAGGGTCGACAAGGCATGGGAATTTAAAGATTCGCCTGCTGGCTGCTGAGCTTAACGATGGAGCAGCTTAATTACTTACTTTACTTGGGCCAAAACCACAATAATAATTGCAGATCAAAATAATAGATTACTCTAAGTGGGGGAGATTTAAATTAAAGAAATTCGAAAAATAAAAAGAAACGGCAAGTGTGTTTTTTGGCGGGTTGGACTTTGGAGACGGAGAGTTGAGTTAACGCCTAACGGTCAACTACATATACGTGTCAATCGGGTGGGTTCGGGTTCCAACGGGTTGCGCATTCATCAGGTTGCTGGTTGATCGAGATCGAGTTCGAGTTTTTCGGATTCGGGTTCAAACGGGTTGTGGGTTAGTCGGATTACGCGTTGTTCGGGTCAGTGCACCGAGTAACTTACTCATTACTCGTTACTAACTTACACATTTTATTACACTAACTTAAAATATTTTCTCAATTTTTAACCATTTTTTTTATACATAGTATATATACTTAATTTTAAAAAAACTAGTCAAATTTATATGGCTTGCAAACTTGTTATGTAATTAATCGTAATTGGTAAAGTACACTAGCTAATAGTAATGCTTATATCAACATTTGCTACCAAAAGACGACATTAATTATTTATTTGGTATTTTAATATTATTTCAGTAGTAATTGAACTAAACCATTTTGTTTAGTATAACCAGGCAAATCTAGTATTTGGTGTGTGGTATTTGGCAAAAGCATAGTGGTAAAAGGAGTTATTTCGAAATGACTCATTGCCCTAATAACTTTAGTAAACTAATGCCAAACGAGTTATTTGTAAAATTATTCGAATTAATTTAAAAATTGAACCATTAAAGATTAACTATCAAATTTACTAAAATTGTTGTGACTTCAATCATAACTTACTCAATAACATATATCCTATAACTTAGTCTTACTCTCAATTGACAATATTAAGCTAATATATATTATTGATCGTATACCCTAAACCATCAATATATTATACACTAACAACATACCCTATACCCTAACCATATATCCCTATGAGTTGTGATTTTGCTAGTATAATTAATTTAAAGTGAAATTCATACTTTGATTTTCGAAACATAGATAAAAAGTGATATTTGCTATACCCTAACCATATATCCTGTACTCTACACCATATACCATGTACCCTAGCCACGTACCATAAACATAAATTAAAAAGAAATCTCCTGTCGTTAAAATTTTTAAATGACTTCAAGTGAACATATGTTAATAAAAAATTTAGAACCGTCTAAACCATATGTACCTTATACATTATACCCTAACCATATACTTTATACACTATACAACGAACCATCAAAAATTACTTATCAAGTTTAGTATAATTGCTGGCTCATATTCACCCGTCCATAAATTTTCCATTCCAAAATTCCCAACCAAACCTCCCTCTCATTTTCCATTCCAAAGTGACCTGCAACCTGATTAACCAAAATTTTCAAACTCGCAACCCGACTGAGTTATTGCAATCGTAAGACTTAACATGGTTCAACTTGAACACAACTTAAATGAGCGAAAATTTGCTAAGTGTTGTAAAATAACGAGCATATAGTGTTGAAATTGCAATAAATGTAGAGGTATAAAAAACAAGTAGAGAAATTAAGTAAATTTTCTAAAATAAATGATTGTTGTAAACACCGAATTTGTTTTCTTCTTTTTTCACAAAAAAATTAAAATACTAAAATTCCACTCCTTCTTTCTCCTTCGAAACACTCAATTTTTCCTCCTCTTTTTTCTTCCATAAAATTGAAATAACCAAATTCCCTACTCTTTCTCTTCCGTTTGAATAACCAAATTTCCCTCTTCCTTTCTTCCTTTCACAAAAAGTTGAAAACTCAAATTTTCCCTCCTTATTTTTCTTTCATAATCAAAAGAACCAAATTTTCCCACTTATTAACTTCCCACAAATCAAAACCAAGAAAATTCTCCCTTTTTCTTTTCTAAAAAATTCAAAAAACCAAATTTTCCTCTTCTTTCTCTTCACAAAAAGTTGAATACACCAAAATTTTCCTATTCTCTTAAAAGCATCAAATTGCCAAGTACATTGCTTTACTTATTGAATAGTTAAATTGCAGGGAGGATTCTTGGTTGGCAGCCAAAACTCTTAACTTAGGCGGGAAAGTTAGAGCTAGTTGTATCAGTCTTGGCTAGTATGACCCAGTACTGGATGAACGTCATATTGCTGCCAAAGAAAGTTATAACAAAAATTGAAAAACTATGTTCCCAGTTCCTTTGGAGTGACTTTGAGAAGAAGAAGAAGGCTAAGGTTCAGTGGAAGATAGTTGTTTTGCCTCGTGTAGAAGGGGGTATGGGGTTTAAGGATTTGCATTCCTGGCACAAAGCCTGCTTGGCCATGCATCTTTGGGGGCTACTTTCTGATAAGGAAACACTATGGATTGGTTGAGTAAAGGAATATAGGCTCCGTAATCTGAGCATTTGGGAGGTTAAAACAAAAGGGTCGTGGGTATGGAATAAGATTCTCAAGTTGCGAGATAGCTTTGTGGGGGAGTTATGCAAAACAGATAGGGGAGTAGAATGGGAGGGAGATCTGATGCCTCGGTTCCAGACCAGCAAAATCTGGCAGAGTATTAGACCTCGAGGTTCTCCTGTGGTGTGGTACAAACTGGTTTGGAAAGGAGGAATTCCACGGAACTCAGTCATCACTTGGCTGATTTTACTAGGGAAGATCACCACTCTGGATAAGATTTTCCGTTGGAACTCAGAGGTTTGTGTCACTTACCCGTTGTGTCAGCAGTTGCCTGAGTCAGGTGACCATATTTTCTTTCAATGTGAATATGTGCAGGCTATTGAGTTTGCGACTCGGAAGCTACAGAAGAGTTTAGCTGGGAGAATACTATGGTGTCTAGTGTTAAGCGATTTATAGCGGGAGAGATGTCGCCAGTTGTATGGAGGTAAACAACTGTCAGCTGCAAGTTTGGTTACTAGGTTGCAGGAAGTCACAAGAATAAAGGTTGTTGGTGATCCAAAGTTTGTTGAGTCTCTGGGTGCCCAGCACTTGCGGTAGAAAGGAAGAGAGCTGAGTTTGTAGTCTAAAGTGTGACAGATGGCAGTAGTAGATTCTGATATCTTGTATTGGGTGTAACACCCTAACCTGGCCGGGTACTACTTTTACTAAAATGCCCATGCAAATAAAATAACCAAATCTTGAATTTCAGCGGGAAAAAATTCATAATAAAATACAGAAAACACACACTTGTAGTTCAGAGCAAAGCCTTAACACGTGGGCAAATTAAAATCAAACTTTAAAATCTCAATCTGATCTCCAGTCTATACTCATAATCATAAATGTAAATAACTAAAAACCTCTAATGTTGTTGCTACTGAAACCTTGACTAAGCATCCTCTATGACGCTTGCACTGCCCTCCTCTAGCTGGCTGCCCTCGAACCTGATCCTCTCAAACTCGATGCTCTCTAACTGCTCCTCTAGCTGCAACTATCGATCTAGTTCTCGCTGATTCCTTTACTAAGCCCTGGTGAGTGAGATGGGGTTAGTCTACGCCCTTACGTTTTAATAACTCTAATGCTTGAGTACTTTATTTAAACACTTAACTTTGACTAGTGGAAGTTGTTTGTACTTCCATTCTTAAAATCTTAACTCTACTTTGAGGGAGTTGAAGTTACTCTCCTCTCTTAAAGCTCAAATCTTGACTGACACTGGGATCCCCCACTAGCTAGTCCGGTTGCCAACTCATACGTATGAGAAGCCATCAAGGCTTTTCTTAAACTTAAACTTAGTTAGGGGAGTCGTAACGATTCATCCCCCTAACATCTTAAACTTATTGTGGTGTCTCTTCACCACGATTCTCAAGAGCATAACTGCTGCTCATCTTAAAAGTCTCAAGAGCATAACTGCTGCTCTATCTCAAAGATCTCAAGAGCATAACTGCTGCTCTATCTGAAAATCTCAAATGGCAACGGACTGACGCTAGTGACTAAAAACACTTAAAACGACTTCACTTTCTTGAAGGTGAGTTACTTCTTAAAAAGAACTTGTTTCTTAAACTTTAACAATAACTTATAAACGTAAAGCTTTAAATTAAATAATAACTCATGCACATTCACATAAAACATAGCTCAACCAAAATCACCTATCATCAAAGATAATCATGCAATCTCAAACATGAATCAAATACTGCACACACATCACGTAAATCAATACTCGAAAATACTCAAGGAAAATACTTGAATAACACGTAAGGCGTAGAATTTACCCCCTTTACACTCACCTTATTTCAATGTCGATTGACCTTCAAGTTCAGTTCCAAATCGATTATATCCTCCTTGAGATGACGATTAAACCTTTGGTATGGCTTCCTCTCCTAGTTGGCCGATGCACGAATTGCTTCCCTTCTTTTTTTCCAAGCCTGGTGAACTGCCACATACGTGGTCATGGTAATGATCCTTGATGAACATGCCACAACAGATTGCATCACCATATGCACTATCTTCCTTCTTCTTGGGCGTGGTTCCATTGGCAGTAATAGTCTTTAATCTATTAATAGACACTGCCTTCCTACTCTTCTTCCTCTTGCTATTTCTTTTCACATCGCCATCATCATCTTCCACGCCACCTTTCCGCTTCAAATTCTTACATGGGGCCTCTTTTGAACCCTCTGTTTCATAAAGACTCTTCAGATCAAGAGATCTCGTTTTTTTGGGAATTTCCTCTCCATTGCAATCTCCTGCCCTATGTTCCATCCACTAAACCGCAATCCAATCACCAAAGATGGCAACCGAAAATTTCTTAAATTCCATAGCACATTCTCAGATACAACAGAAATCGTTCTGCGTACCCATGAAACAATTAGAACGGGAATCGCACCACCACTTACCGAGATCCAAGCAGCAACAAGAATTTGATTATAGTTTGCAAATCGCCAAGATCACGCACGTGATTGCACACTAACCTTCCGAATCTGGAAATTTTGAGTCGTCGAACTACCGCAGTGGCGATTTTTATAGTCAATTTCTTGATTGATTTTGAAAATTTAATTTGCCCTGTTTTGGGCGTGAGAGAAGGGGAGTGGAAGAGCTAGGGTTTCCTTACGGTTGCAGGGAGAAGGGGGAAAAGGGGTTCTAATTAACTCGAGGGGTATTTTGGGCATTTCACAAATTACGGGTGAGTTTAATCTGAAACTCAATTAGCGTCTGTAACTTCCTCATTTTATGTCCAAATTTGACACTGCTTGAACCGATAGTTCACATTTTTAATCCTCATTGATAATACGGTGGAACTTGACCCAAGGGTATAATAGTCATTTTGACTTTTGGGAAGAGCGGGGTGTAACATTGGGTTTTTGTCTAAAGTCTGTATTGTGAACTTTTTTCCTTAAAGATACTGATTGTACAGATTGTATTGATGAAATAAAGGCACCTATTCATAAAAAAAAATAGTTAAATTAACCAAAATTTTAATTTATATATTATATTAATATTGTCCATTATCTCAATTATTAATCATTCATTATTAATATTCACATTATGCTGATTTTATATTTACTTTTTTAATTTTGTTAAAGAACTTATTGTTCAAGTGACCTTCATGTTTTAATTTTTGTAATTTTCTTAAAATACATAATATCAAGTGAGTTTCATATTTTTAAATTTTCTATACGAAATGAAGAAATAATTTTACCTAAGTTTAGAATGAAAAACTTTATTTTGAAAAACTGTGAATTATATAATATAATAATTATTCAAGTGGATTAGGTGAAGTTCGGGTTGAGTCGGTTGGGTTGCGATTAGTGGGTTCGGGTTAATCGGGTTGCGAGTTAAATCGGATTGCAGGTCAATTGGAATTGGGTTAATCGGGTTGCGGATCATTCGGGTTGCGGGTTAGTCGGGTTGCGGGTCAATCGGGATGCGGGTCGAGCGGGTTACGGATTGTTGACTTTTAGTCAATTCGGGTTACGGTCGGATTGCGGGTCGGGTTGATCGGGCAGGTTAATCAGGTCGTGTTCTATTTTGACACCTATACAACTACACCTCCTCTTCGAGCTGATGCTTTGGATCCAATGTTAACACCAAAATGAAGTATGAATTAGTACTACGTGTGGTTTAAAATTGATTGGTTTAACCGATATCTACGCTTTTAATAATACATCAGAATTAGATCACAGTCTTCTTAGTCAAAGACAATAGTCATAACTAATTATACCAAACAAATATGATGTATCTTATTTATTACAAAACATGCATAGCGTTAAAATCTGAAACGCTAAGGACGCATAAGGATTAGCTAGCTCACTAAGTCTCTTTTAAGTATTTTTATGGTGCTTGATACTTTGATTTTCATGTGTTGATTATTTTAATTGTATTTCAATAAGTAATTATTCTTATAACTTAGAAATGACAGATTACCCTAAAACCACAACACAAAATCTTCATCACACAATTTGTAAAGTATAGATCCGCCAATTTGTTTTCTCTAATACGATAGTGGAATCGAGGTATTGGAGATCTTATTGTCTGAAATTTCAATGTTAATATTTCGGGTTCCAATTTGTAAGATTTATGTTAAACCCAAGACTGAACAGTTTGTTATTTCAATAACATTGAGATTCGATTGAAAGAAGTGAGAGCTCATGCATGCCTTATTTTTTTTTATTTTTAGTTTTATTTCTATAAAATTATTCGTTATTATACGCGATACTTTGTATTGTATATTTCTTTTACTATAATGACTGCTATACTAAGGTTATTTTGAGCTATTTTAGGATGGTGGGACTAAATCATAGCTTTTTTTTTTTGAAAAACTTAATCATAGTTTCATAAGAAAGATAAGAGCCATTTAATGACAATTAACAAAAAAACTAAACACAGTGGGTTGGTTAAAAACATAATATTATTACTCCTCTAAATTTTGGTAATTAATAAATGATGGGTGAACACTGAACAGTCTTGTTGGTCATTTTTTGGGGAAAAATCCTTGGGTGTTCTTTATTCTTGGGCAAACTGGATTTGGGGTCGCGATAGAGAGGTTCGAGTTTCGGGGACCATTTGGTGCTTTTTCAATTTCCGTCCGCTGCTACCGGCAACTGGGTTTTTGAAGGGGGTCCGTGGCATTGCCAAGATCTCTTAATTTGTTTACACCGGTGGGAGCCTGGAATTCAAGCTCTTGAGATTGACAATTCTGTAGTCCCTGTCTGGATTCGTTTATCAGGTTTGCCAGCAGAATTGAGTTCAAACGAGGGAGTGGGTCGAGTCTACGGTGTTCTAGGTAAACCCTTGTGTATGGATGTGTGCCTACAAGAAAATGGGATCGAGTTGGTTGTGCTAAGATTTGTGTTGAAATGTCGGCATCTTTGTCTCTGCTGGAGCAGATTAGTTTTACTCCTGATGGGTTTCCGAAAAGGTTTGTGAGGATTGAGTATTGTCGATTGCACCCTGTTTGTAATACTTGCAAGGTTTTTGGGCATGATTATTCAAAGCCAGGGCAAGGCCTAACAAAGCGTTTCTGGGTTAAGAAATGCCAAGAGGAGCAGCTTCTTGTGTTGGAAAAAGGGAAACAAGTAGCAGAAGATATTGATGAGGAAATTGCTATCCCTATTACTGAAGCTGGAAGTTCAAATTTAATGGATATTAATTGTTTGATTGCTGTTACTCAGGAAGTACATGTTGATACCACAATGGAGTCTACTGCAACTAATGACACACTGTCGATTACTCCTAGTGCTCTACCATCCATTGGGGAGTTTAACAAAGTAGTCAATGGTGCCAAAACAAAAGTTAATAGTAAGGCCCTAATGTTTTACTTCTGAATTCCTCTGCTCCTATTGCTGAGAAACCGCTTGTTATTCTTCACCCGGTTCCTCAAAAGGTTGTTCATGAGGTATTACATAGTCAAAAGGGGGCTGCTCCTGCAGCTCATCCCCATAAATGAGTGTTTTAGTATGGAATGTGAGGGGCTTTAATGGCCCACTACAAACATGATGCTCTACTTCAATATTTGGATAGACATCATATTAGTCTTTTTAGTGTTCTTGAGACAAGGGTTCAACAGGAGAATGTGAGTAAAATTCAAGAAAAGTTTGTGGGTTTTCAGTTTGTTGATAATTATAGTAAGAATTCTTTAAGAAGAAATTGGGTGGCGTGGCAATATGATGTTCATCTTCAAGGCTTGGATGAGTTAGCAGTATATATGCGCACATTGGTAACGTTAGAAAACAAGGATAGTTTCTTCTTCACTGTGGTTTATGGATCGAACGAAGAGTCTGAACGTGCTAAGACATACAAGCAGTTAAGTCGAAAGATGGTTCAAGGATATCCAACAACATTGTACCTAAAACTTAGAAGAAAATTTCTAATTATAACAATAAACGAATCTATTCTATCATGAAGTCAACAAAACACAGTCATTTTCTTAATATGGTTAAAAAAATATGAACCTAAAACATAGAGTACAATATTTTCCAAATTATTATGCTCTAATTCTATTACATATACCAAGTAATAATTAATTAACATAATCTTATTGGCAAGGGGGAAAGTGAAAGAGTGAAGGTAGAATTGAGGGAAATGAATTGGGTTTTGATTAGAGTGGCCACTCAATTGCTTTTCTACTATTTATTTTCTCGAGTTATCCCCATCAACATTGATAGATTATAATTTGATCCACATTTTCTTTTATATGTGAAAAAATTCTCTTGGTGGGGCAGGTATGCGTATGGGTATGGGCCGGGGGAGGCTAAAACCATACCCATCAAACTTTTTGCGGGGTTTATCCATACCCGATCAAAGCAGGGATTCCCCGCATTGACAGGGTCGGGGGCGGTCGGGTACCCGTGACCATCAATTTGATTGCCATCCCTATCTCTTTACTATTGCGATGGGAATGTTTCAGTGATGCTTGATTCTGCTGCTAGAAAAGGAAAGCTGCCTTTTCATCCCCAGTTTAAGCCAATTGGTCTGACGCACTTATGTTTCGCTGATGATTTACTAATTTTTTCGGGCGGGTCAGTTTTATGCTCTTGAGTGTGTGATGCGAGTTCTTTCTTAGTTTGCTACCTTTTCTGGGTCTGAATGCAATCCCCAAAAGACATAAGTGTTATTTGGGGGTGAAACAGACAAGGATTGGTTTTAAGGTAGATTTCATGTGTGTCATTTAGGCTTGCCATTATTTGATGGGAAACTGACGAGTAAAGAGTGTGAAATTCTTGTGGGGGAAATGTTGTATCCCTAAGTATAGGTTCTTAGCCTGGTTGATTATTTTAAACAAGACTAAATGTAACACTCCGACCTTTAGGTTTAGGTTCGACCTTAATACGTGATCGGCTGGGTTGACAGTTGCGCACTAAAAGTTGCAACCATTGATTAGAAATAATAATAACTATTATTATTATTATTATTATTATTACTAATATATATATATGTATTTGGGGAGGCCAGAGAATCCCTCTCAACAGCTGCCACTCTTCCTCTCAACTAATCATCATTATTATTAGGAGAAAAAAACAACAAAGTAATCAGGAAGGGCCGAAGCGGCCATTCCTTTAATTGGCTCGCAAAAACCCTTAACCTAGCCCTCTCCTTTATTTCCCCAACAACTTTCTTTTTGGTTCTTCCCACAAAACCAACCCGCCGCCAAACTGAATCGCTATTCGTCACCCTAAATTTTAAATTTTATCGCCCTAAAAGCACTAAATTGACATTCTTACCCCTAATTCCAATTTCAATCTAAACTCAGATCAAAAACTCTCTTACACCTGTCCAGTCGTCGCGGAGCCGAGCTCCTCCATCCTTTGACCGCTGATGCCGGATTCTTATCTCCGGCGCTGCCCACCTACCCAACTGTGACTTATGCTCTTTTTTCTACTGTCGGACTTGATTCCAAACAGGAAGAGGAAGAAGAACGAAGAAGAAGGACGTCACCCATCTCCTCTGTTCTGTTGTCGCTCCCAAGCAGGAGGAAGAAGAAATCAATTTCTAACCGAAGTCAAATGGAAAATCAAGGCCGAGATGAGAGAAATTCAAACAGGTCTAACCGGCTATTTTTCCATCCTTGGACATTTTTTGTAAAATGAGCAAGCATGCTAATGACTCGCTATGACACAACTCCTAACAATGGCCAAGTGTAACCAATGGAAGGGACTGCAGTATAGTGGCTCAAGTAATAAATATTGAATCCATGAGTCTCTACAGTTACTATTACTCAGCTTCAGTTCATTATCTAGCAAATCAGATTAAGATGGAACAACGAAAACTACTCTAACAAACTACAGTTAAAGTTAATCTAATTACAGGTTGGGAACTCACTTAGGTATGATTCCCCCAGCCACTAGCCACACTAACAATTGATGATTTCTAACTTGTTTCACTTTCATTCACAATGCGGAGAATCCTTGACTAGACCTTGAGTCTCGACTAAAGGAACAAGGCCCTCTTGACTCCATTGCCTAGAAGGACGTATCCTTCTCTAGAACAACCGATCAAGGCGTTCTGAACTAGATTCCCTCTATCGAATGAGGTTCTCAATCGATACAAAGCAGTGGATCAACCCTCGACTAAAGCAATCGATCCACTACTATCAATCTATGGTGCTCTATTGACCTAATCAGGTATTCGATCTCATAGGATCAAAGCAGAATCAATAATCTCGACTAAAGCATAATTGAATCATGAAAACATGCATAGATTGAATATGAACTCAAGATTATCAAGTCAGAGTACTCATACAATCATCCAATCAAACAAACATAGCTAGGGTTCCTCAAAACCTAAGTGAAGGGAAGTTATCCATAGAGAAGAGAGGGACTGCAGTAAGAATCTTCAGATGATCAGTCTTCAAGTCCGGGTTTGTTCCTCGAGATTCCAAGGCGAAGAAATCCTCCAATTCCACTCCAAGAATGCCCTCAAATCGCCCTCTCTCTCTTTGGTTCGTCCCTTGGGTGTTTGGGATCCAAAAACCCAGCTCTCCCTTTCCTTTGGCTTCAATCTGCCTAAAAAACCTGATTCTGGGCAAAACACGGTCGAGGACACGGCCGTGTTTTACTTTTGCCCGCACATGTTTTGCCCCCAGCAGCCCTCGTCGTTCAAAACACGGTCGTGCCTAAATATGGACACGGCCGTGTTTTACTTTAGGCCAGCCCGTGTTTTTACTGCCGAACCTGTTCCCCTATATTCAATGCTTCGTTTCTCCCTCGTCCGGACTCCGAATCAGTCGCTGTTTGATCCCAGACGCTCGTAGTTTCGTCCTCTTTCTTTTCATGAAAAGCTTGAATGATTATTTTTCCATAAAGTAAGGTAGAAATCCATTCTTCTTCAGGTCATGCCCAAGTTTCTTCTCCCTAATTGCCAATTGATCTCCGATTGACATGAAACTTGCGCCTATGCTTCACTTTATGTGCTAGGACCTGAAATGTGAAAAAGGAACACAACCTACCGTAAAATAGGCCAAAGACGCGATAATTAAAGCTCAAACAGTCAAGAAACAAAGGGGAAAACATGTGCAAATATCGAGTCATCAAATCCCCCCACACTTGACTGTTTGCTTGTCCCCAAGCAAGACTCAAACCAATGCAACTCTCCAGACCTCTATAGCAACAAACAACCCCGATCCTCGCTAGAGGACTTTCTAGATCATAAAGCAGCTTACGAGGTCAACTGGTCTTCTAAGACGTCCCCTATCTCTCTCAATGCGAGTACTAGGGGTGCTCACACCATTGACAACCAAGGACTCGTTGTACTGGGGTGCTCTTTCACTTCATTTCACCGTTGGAACCCCTTTTTCACTTTCATTTTACTTCTTTTTTTTCTTTCTCATTCACTTAGCGGGGGTTCCAACTGCAGTCTTTTGCACGGTCGACCCTTATTAGTCGAGCAAGAGCAATTTCTGTACATCTAGAACTCGCCAGAGTACTTCTTTTAACTCCTTTTCCTCAACTCGTGTGGAGGGTCAATGAAATTAAGGGGGTCGGAAGCTCTATCCGTGCCCTTAAAAACACATCCTCAAGTAGGCAAACTGTTCAACGGGTGGAAGTTTACTTGTACTAGAGACATCTTAGCTTCACCTTGTAGGAGTACCCCACTAAGGATCACTAAAATCTCCTCCAAAACCCGATTTTGTGCAATGAACGGTGCCACACACGTTGGGCTTACCCCTTGTTTAAGATTTCGATGATTTCGACATGGAGGACCAACTGCTTCTCATTTTTCACATGAGCACCCTGTTCGATACACGAGTCCATAACACAATCCAAACAAAGTCACCATTACCACATGAATTCAACGGTCTTAGCTCCACTAATTCACAAAATCAACTGGCACAACAGAGAGCTAGATAGGAAAAATCTTATACTTCAGCATCCTCCATAGTGATACACTACCTCCCTAGGTTGCACATTACTATAGAGACTGTCAATTCAAAGCATACTGAGCAGGCAATTTGCAAGGAAATACGTACTTGGAGCCCTCAAATTTAAAAATTTGGACAGTGGACTAGGCTCCAAGCACACAAACAACCAAACATTCACCCGCATACATAATCTAACATCCCCCCACACTTTAGCACGACATTGTCCTCAATGGAGGAAAGATAAGGAGGGTAGAACGAAGTTACCAGATCAAGGGTGAATGAATTTGGACGAGGCAGGCGGTGCATTCCAGGAGGAGAGAGTAGTCGGAACCCAGACACCACACAAAATCTCACAAAGGTTGAGTTATTAACTCTAAAATCAAATAACAAAACTGACTCAACCGAGGAGAAAAAGAGAAAGAAATGCAAACCGACTGGTTGGGTTGCCTCCCAACAAGCGCTTCTTTC